GGTTTGCGTCACCGACACATCTTTGCCTGGCGCACGTGGCAAGTGGGCGCCGGGTACTCTTCTCTTGGCGAGGGCCCGCCGCTTGCCTTGCAGAGTGTGTCGTCGTCAGAGCTGGTGGTCGCGTCGGAGGTCATGTTTTCGGTCGTCGATCGTTTGTTCGCGAAGCTCCCGCCGGATCGCCAGGCACGAGCCTCCAGCCAATAAGATTGCGCATTTGCAACCGCCAATCAGGTGCGGCGACGGGTGAGGGCCAATCCAAGAAAGGCGGCCCGATGCTGCACGTGCTGTATGGGAGCGCGACGGGCACGGCGGCCGACGTCGCCGAGATGGTAGGTCGCATGGCGGCCGCGCGCCAGGTCCCATGCGCCGTCTCTGCGATGGACGACTTTCCGATCGCGTCGCTGCCGAGCCAGCGCTACGTTGTGTTTATCGTCGCTAGCAGCGGCGACGGCGAAGCGCCCGAGAACATGGCGCAATCGTGGAAGTTTCTTTTGCGCAAGAGCTTGGCCGCCGACTCGTTAGCCAACGTCCGCGTCGCCATCTTTGGTCTCGGCGACTCGAGCTACGCCAAGTACAACGCAGTAGCCCGCCGCTTGCAGGTCCGTGTGCTTCAACTTGCAAGAGATACTCACCCCGTTATGGTGATGGTAGGCGCGCCTTATTCAGCTGGGCGCGACCGAGATCGTCGAGCGTGGGCTCGGCGATGACCAGCACGAGCTGGGCTTCTATGGCGCGCTGAACCCATGGCTCGAGAAGCTGTGGGGAACGGTCTTGGCCCTGCCACCGTTCCAGCTACCGGACGGTTTTGTCGTCGATGACACACCGCGCCTGACGCCGCCCCAGTACCACGTGACACAAGTGGCGGCAACGACCGCGTCCTCGGTGCCACACACGTTCTACGCCGCGCCCAAGACGGTACTCTCGGCGCACAACGGCGAGATCCTCATGGCCACCGTCGCAGCCAACGACCGGCTGACGGCCGCCGATTGGACGCAGGACGTCCGGCACCTCGTGCTCGACATGTCGTCGGCGCCCGTGCCGTATGCCCCCGGTGACATTGCGCTCTTGTACCCAGAGAACACGGACACGGCCGCAATCGATCGGTTCCTTCACCGCCTCGGGCTCGTGCGCGGCACGCAGCTCGTCATTTCGCGCGTCGACGGCGCGCCAGCGAGTATCCCGTCGCCCGTCTCGGTGGACGATCTCATGCGCAAATACCTCGACATCTTTGGCACGCCGCGCCGGTCGTTTTTTGAGCGGCTCTCGCTCTTTGCATCGGACCCGGACGAGCGCGAGAAGCTGCTCGAGCTCGCGTCGCCGAGTGGCGCGGATCTTTTGAGCGACTATTGCACGCGCGAGAAGCGAACATACGTCGAGGCAAGTGCAACCAGCTGCGCCCCGTGGCACCCGTTCACATCCGCTGATGATGATGTATAGGTGTTTGAGGACTTTGCGTCCGTGGCTGTGCCACTCGAGTGTCTTGTCGAATTCATTCCGCGGCTGCAGCCACGATCGTACTCGATCGCGTCGGCCTCCGGGACCCACCCGTCTTCGGTCGGTTGAAGCTACTACTCTTCGGTGCACCTGCTTATCCACGCCTAGATTGAACTGACCATCGCCCTCGTCGAGTTCCAAACGCCCTACAAACGCCCCAAGAAAGGGATCTGTTCCGCGTACGTGGCATCGCTTCCTGTCGGGGCGACGCTTCCGATCTGGATCAAGGCCGGCCTCTTTGCGCCACCGCCGCCAAATGCCAACGTGCTGCTCATTGGACCTGGCACGGGCGTCGCCGTCATGCGCGCGCTCATTCAAAGCCGAGCGGCGACTGCAACGGCCACGGGCGAGACCCACTTGTTTGTTGGGTGCCGCCACGCCGCCAAGGTGCGTCCCACTCTGGCCCTTGCCTGTGATCGGCTGGTTGAAGTAGCGTGCCAACTAGGACTTTCTATACGAAGGGGAGTGGCAGACACTCGTGTCCACGCGCTCGCTCACGTCTCTCCACGCGGCGTTCTCGCGCGACTTTGGCTACAAGCTCTACGTGCAAGCCAAGCTCGCCGAAGCCAGCGCCATGGTCTTCCGCGTCCTCGCCAATGTACGTGACGGCAGTGCCATGGAACGCACTAATGACTTTGCACAGGGCGGCTACTGCTTCGTGGCCGGCTCGGCCAAGCGCATGCCGACAGATGTGTACGAGGCGATTCGGGACATCGTCGTCAACGAAGGCCAAGTATCCTTGAAGGAGGCCGAGACGTTTATGAAGAGCTTGGTCCGCCACAAGCGGTATGTGGTCGAGTCGTGGTCCTAGTCGACGTAATCCAAATACATCGCGGAGAGAAGCGCAAAGCTAAGGATGGGCAAGGAGATGGGAAGGATGATGGGAGTCGTAGAAGTACATGAGTATAATGATGCGATAGTTGATAGGGATGTTTAAATACTAGATATATAAGTTACGGCGCGGTCACCTTACTCTCCGATCGAGAAGGTTTCGCTGTCGACGAAGAGCTTGCCGTCCATCGACATGAAGCGCACAAAGTAGTCCTTGTCCTTCGTGAGCGACGCAGGTACTTGTTTCAGCACAAAGAGACCGTTGTTCTCGACGTGATCGGCGATGATCGTGTACGACCGCGTGTTGGTCAGTGAGCTCTTCTGAAGCAAGACGATGCGGATCTCGGCGACCGAGATGTCGAGCGGCGCCCACTGCAGGATTGCGGGCTGGCTGCGGCGCCAGTGGGTCTGCTGCTTGGGCGCGCGGACGTTGAGGAGCTTGGGCGTCGTGGCCGCGCGGGCGAGGTTGCCCCAGCTCTTGGAGCGCACGAGCTGGCGCGGCGACGTCTCGGGCGTCGAGGGCAGCTCGGGAATGTCCATCGCGCTGTTGTGTTCGTAGCCAAAGATCTCATCTTGGTTGTTCGTCGTCATCGGGGTCATGGTCTCGCACTCCAACATGGTGGTGGGTAGTCTGTCGGTCGTCGCTGGAGGTCTTCTCGGGTCGCGAGAAAATTCGGAAATGATGGCTTGCAGCATCCGGCGGCGTCCGAGATGTGTTTAAACGCACCCCCAGCTGGGTTTGGCGCACGTTTGACCCGGACATTTCTTATGGGCGTGTGACGCATGTTTTATTCGACCGCCGATTGGCCACGTGCGGAATCTCGCGTGTTGATTGGCCATAAAGCCGGCAACGTGCGCATGTTTCATCCAATCAGCGCGTGGGGATACAAAGCACGGCGTTTTGGACACAAGAAAGTTTCAATAAAATTGTGGTCGCCGGATGATTATTATGGCGTCGATTGGGCCGCGCAAACCAGCAGAGACAGGCTATGGACATGAGGTTTTGCCTGCTTTTCTGGGGAGAAAAAAACGTGACAAGAGCGGTCTCCAGCACCACGAGGTCAAGCGGCATGTCGTTCGCCCGCAACACACTTGCCGTCGTGAGTGCCAAGGGTACGACACACATTATATCGCCGTGCCTCCCTTGAAGCGACCGTTGGCCTTCGGTTGCTTACGCACGCCTTTTTTCGGCGTGCCACTTGCGACGACAGCGGCTCTGCCCACGCTTTTATCTTTTTTATCTCATACGCTGGCGATGACGGTGTCGCGAATCTTAATCTCTTTCGAAACAGCACTCTCAGGATGCCCATGGAAGCCGGCGCTTCGATAAGAAGAATTTGGCCTTGTCGTTGTAGTAGCTGGACCACGCAGCTGCGTGTGATGGATTTCGTTCAGCTCCCGATGTCGACGATCGCGAGGTGTCTTTGTTACCGTGCAATGCACGTGTCAGGCTCGACCAGTCCGCAGTAGAGTTCCGACACGCGCAATAGAAGAGGCATCACTGCATCTTTGCGGCGAGAGGACTGGCCCGCCGAGATGCACTTACAAAATTCATTTGAAATAGACGCGCTGCTGTCGCATACCGCACGCGGCCGCGTGCCATGACGGCTTCTGGTGTTGGACAGGAGGCGACTCTGAAGCTTCTGCGCAATCAGATGCGCCACGACCGTCATTCTGCTTGGACCAAATTTCCAGCTGCGTATCCGGATTTCGAAGCTTCCGGACAAATTCACTCTTGCGCTTTGTATGCGTTTCTTCGAGAGCCGCCTCCGGATACGCATTCTTTTTCCGGTCAATTGCCAACGGGACGCGACGCACAGCACGAGCACGATGGTGGGCCAAGTACGACGACGACGATGGCGTGCGTCAGCCATGGCGACAGCTCATCACGCTGGCGTAGGAGCAAGCACAGACGCAGAAGGCCATCACGCTCAAGGGCTCGGCGGCGATCGTAACCGAGTTCTTTGCCTTTAGCATCAACAAGTACGTCCAACGCAATCGCGAGCCAACGCTGATCCTGCGCCTTTAGTATTCTCTACCAGCGTGGCATCTACCCGCCGGAAAGCTTCACACGCGTGTCCAAGTATGGCCTCGCCATGGTGGTCACGGCCGACGAGAAGCTCAAGGCCTTCTTGGCGACCGTGCTCGAGCAGCTCTCTGGTGGACAGCCCCCTTTCTGCAGGCGGACTGAGGTGTTGTGCATAGGATGGCTCGTAGCAGGTCACGTCCAGAAGCTTGTGCTGGTTGTCGCAGGCGTGGATTCGAACTCGGTCTTGGAACGATGGGTTTTTGATGTGTTCGCCGAGCCGCCGAACGAGCACGGGTACCAACAGCGTACGCACGAACAGCCTGTCTCACACGTGCATGCTAGCGACCGCATCTCGACCAAGGACGAGCGCGAAATCATGAGCGAAATCCAAGCCATCATGCGCCAGATTACTGCCAGCGTGTCGTTTCTCCCCCTTCTCAACGAGGCGTGTGCGTTCGACCTCCTCCTGTACACGGACAAGGACCTCGAGATTCCCCAGGCGTGGGAAGAGTCGGATCCGCGCTTCGTCGAGAACTCGATGCAAGTGCGTTTGCGTTCGTTCACGACCAAGGTACAGATCTATCCCGATGGCTCTGAACGCCATGTTGCCAGATCCATCGCGTGGACACGCTCGTGGCGTACAAGGACCCGGATGCGACGGCGTAGAGACCGACGCCCGGACAATGTATATGGGAATGGATGATTATCTTAGTCGGTCTTGGCCTTGGTGTACTTGGCGACCAAGGCGCCGACCTCCTTGTGGAACGCAGGGCTGTCGAAGTGGCCCTCTTCGTCAAAGAACGTGCCAATGTACAGCTCGGCCTTGACCTTCTTGGACGGCGTGAGCGTCGACTCGAACGTCAGGTGGTAGTGGTCCTTGTACTGCGGAATGCGCGTACGAACGTAAAACTGATCCTCGGGCCGCGCCTGTGGGATGTCAGATCATCGAGATGTGGCGATTGAAGATGCGCACCGTATCCGGGTAGACGCGTGCAATGATGTCCTTCTCGATGAACATGAGGTAGCCCGTGAGAAGCGAGTTGAGCACAAAGAAGCTAGCCATAGAGGATGAGGACAGGAACAGAGCGATGGGATGTGGCATACCCGCCTGCGCACGCAAGGATGATGTTGCTGTCGTCCGGGAACGGCGTCTCGTGCCACACCGTGCCAATGGCAAAGGCGATTGCGACGACCATCGTGAGCATCTTGAGGTTGTCCGTCTTGTAGTTGAAGCCGTACTTGACCTCGTCCTTGAGGTGCTCGACGACGCTGTCATCGAGGAGGTTCTTCACCGCGGCCTGGTCGCCCGTGTCGATCTTCGTGAGCGCTACTCATGCCCATGAGTGTCCTCTCCACGCAGTCGACCATGCATCTCGTACGCTTCTCTTCCTCGACCTCGTCGATATCCTCATCTTCGTCCTTCCGGCGGGAAAACCAGGCGCCCATCTTGCGTCGCAATGTATTCCGGTCTGTCCCCACATGCCACGCGGCCAAATTGAAAAGACCTCTCTTTTTCGATGCCATCGTATCATATTATAGAGTACACTGAAATAGTGTAAATGTCTCCACCAACTATTATGTTGGCCGCTGCAGATGCAAGCGATACTGTGCTAACTACCCTTTCAACCCACCCTGCAGACAGCAGCACGCGTGAATGCAACCGCAGCGGGCCAATGTACCCTCGAATACGCACCAGCACCACGGAACCATACACTATTTCAAAAATACTTTCTGATTGGACAAAATACAGGCCAATGGTGAGGCGACAAATGAATCCTCCCGACCAAGGCCGACGTCATCATTTTGCATCCACGAGGCAGCCGCGCGGTGGGAAGAGTCACACGGGCGCATGGACCATGGCTTCAAGTTGCCGCTTTGGCGCGTGCGAAGGGACAGGTTATAGGCGTGAGCAAGCCCATTAGCGCATCGAGCGTAACCCTCGGATTGCAGCGGCCGTAATCGCAATCCAAAAAATAATTCAGAAAATTTAAATAAAACCGACCGAATCTTTCGTCGTCAGGGTCGCGACGAGAAGTGCGAAAGCGATGGAGCCCGCTGACGTCACCGACGACGAACGTCGCCGCTGCTGCGTCTCGCCGTTCGGCGCCTGCGGGCGCTGGCTACGCAGCCTCGTCGAGCTCTACGGCCTCCGGACGCTGGCCGTGCTCTGCGGCACCAACTTGCTCTCGGGCCTCATCTCGATCGACCTCTTCGCCGTCGACTACATGTTCAAGGACGAGTTCCATCTGAGCCCATCGTCGGCACAGATCTCGACGACGACGCTCATGCTGCCATGGGCGCTCAAGCCGATCTGGGGTCTCATCACGGACACGGTCTCGATCGGCGGCTTCCACCGCAAACCGTTCTACGTCCTCTGCGGCTGCTTGGCCTTTTGCTGCACGTCGCTGCTGGGGCTGCCAAACGTCGTGAGCTCCTATGAGCTCGCATTGGGCGTGCTCCTCCTGCGCTCGGTCGGGTACGCGTTCATTGACGTCATCATCGACGCGGTCCTCGCGGAGCAAGCGCGCAAGGACGTGGCGTCGGGCGCGCAGAACCTCCAGAGCATTGCGTCCTTCCACAAGGCGCTCGGCGTCGTGCTCGCATCGATCCTCAAGGGCCCACTCATCACTGCCCTCGGCCCCCGGCGCGTCTTTACCGTCATGTCGTTCGTCATGCCTCTGCCGTACGTCGTGCTCTCGTGCGTCATGGTCGAGGCCCGCAATCATTGCACCGACTCGATCCGCGTCCGCATGCGGCGGCAGAGCCGACTGCTCGCGACCTCGTTCGCATCGCCGCTCGTGTGGCGGCCGGCGCTCTTCCTCCTCCTCTCGATCTCGCTCTCGCCGACGATCGTCCAGGTTTACTTTTACTTTGCGACGAGCGAGCTCGGCTTTTCGCCCAACTTTATCGCGTCGCTCTCGCTGATTGGCGCGCTCACGGCCATGGCCACGACCCTCTTGTACCAAGCCAAGATGAAGCACGTCGCGTTCCGGTCCGTCTTTGTTGGCAGCCAAATCGGGGTCGTCTGTGCCAACGCCGCGACGCTCCTCCTCGTGACGCGCACCAACGTGAGTCTCGGGATTCCCGACAAGGCATTTGTGATTGGCGAAGACATTGCGATCGTCATTGTCAAGTACATGCAGATCATGCCCATCACGGTGCTCTGCGCCAAGCTCTGCCCACGCGGCGTCGAAGGCACGATGTTTGCGGGCTTTGACTCGATCATGAACGGCTCGTACCTCATATCCGGCTACCTCGGCGCGCTCATTGCGCAGCACGCGGGCATCACCGAGCGCAACTTTGAGCACCTCTGGATCGTCCAGCTCATCATTGTCGGTTCGCGCTTGCTCCCGTTCTTCTTTGTGTTTTGGCTCATTTCCGACGACATCAACGTCCTGACCACCAACGCCGCGCCAGCCGAGCACGACGGCAATACTGGCAAGAAGGACGCCCACGCAGCGCTGCGAAAAGACATTCTCATGCTACCGCCCGTGGACGCGGTGGCGAGTGTGACCGAACTGCAGATCCGACACGTTTAGCGACACGTCTATCACTGCTGGCGTGATCTAGTGTGTGCTGGAATGTACTGTCTTTTATATATATTGTCATGCGACGACGAGACTACGTGGGCAAATGAAAGTGTCATGTCATAAGGACAATCAGTTCTGATGGGTGCGAGGGGTGGCTCGGGTTGACGTGTATGACATCAAAGGTCGTTATGGAGAATATGGGCGTCAAGGAGCTTGCTGTTGGACGCCTCGAGGATGTTGGCGATGTCGTGGAGCATCGCAGTGCCGACGCCGAAATCGCAGCTCCCAAGGATCTGCGTGAGGATCCAGTCCAAGCGATGACAGTACTTCTTCTTGCCAGACAGTAGTGGCGGCGCCTCGCTCGCAACCTCTATGATGTCCTTGGCCACGTCGACCAAGATATTGTGGACAGCGATCAAGTCGAGGTGCAAAAATCGACGCCACTCGTCGTCGACCACGCGCCGAATTTCGCGCATGTTTGGGAGGCTGGCGCCCAGCGGCAGTGGCTCGGCGCGGGTGGCATACCGGTACGTGCGGCACTGGTCGGCATACGTCGCGTTGATCGTCTTGCGCTTGCGCAACGTGGACTTGTTCTGGGCTTTCTGGAGCTTGTTGCGCCGATCCCGCTTCTCGCGGTAGGCGGTGGCCGCCTCAAAAGCCTCCGAGGCGCGCTCGAAGGGCGCACTTGTAATCGCTGTCAAGAGCGCCATCGTCTCCATCGGCGCACCGTCCGTCATCACAAGCCCCGTCGTAAACGCGCCGGGTGCCGTCGGCCGACCCGCCGGCCACATGTGCTTGTCGGAGCCGAACAAGTCGATGAGCTTTTCCAACTCGGGCACGATCTGGACGTGACCACAGACGCGCAGCGCGTTGTAGACGTGAAGCACGAGTCGAGTGCGAACGCTTGTGCACAGCAGCACGTGCCCCGGGGCCCCGTTGAGGTGCGTCGCGCCCGTGAGAAGAAACTGGCCGGCCATGTACGGGTTGAGCCACCACCGCGCGCGGTTAGCGTCAGAGGCAAACTTGCGGTCTTTGGTCACGACGCCGAGCGTCGCTTGGTGCGACGCCGATACAGTGGCGAGGAAGGTGTCGAGTCGCGTGTCGGGCTTGTTGTTTGCGGTCGCTCGCTCCGCGCGGCGGCCTTGGCGGCACAGAAGGACGCTCTTGAACTGCTGCTTGAGCGCATCGGGGATGGTCGCAGCGACCGAAGCGACCGTAATCGTGTCGCGGCCGGGACCGTCCACGATGGCCATGGCCCGCAAGAGACACGATATCGCGAAAACGAGCATCAGGGGGGCTATCCCGATTTTGTTGTCGAGGTACACCTTCAAGACCGGGAGGAACGGACTCAAGCCTACTGTCTCTGACACGAGCTTGAGTGCATCGGTTTGGACCGAGACAGCGAGCCGCGGTACGACTCTGCCGACAAAGAGCCAAGTCAGCTCCTCGAATGCGGCGGCCGAAACCATGTTGAGCTCACCGGTCACGTCGCGAGAAGGCTTCTTGAAGTAATGATGAACCAACATGAGGTGGCTGCCGTGCCGTGTCGGTAGCAGAGCGCTGAGTTCACTTTTGAAAAACGCGTGGAGCTCGGTCGCTTCTTCCTCCGAGCGCGTCCATGACTGGGCGATCTGACGCAAGTTGCCGTCATTATTGTCGGCGTTACGCGCGTGCACGCAGGTAGTGACGGCAAGGTCGAGCGGCACGTCTTGCTGAAACACGAGATGCTGCAGCGAAGCGTTATCGGAGAGAAGCACGTCCATACACTCAATCGACTCGATGTACGGGACCTCGAGCGTGAGCTCCGAGAAGAGCGACTGCACCGCGATGACGCAGTGGTTGGTGACGGCCGTTGCGGCCACGAGCGACGTCTCGCCGCGCTTGAACGCGGTCCAGACAGCTTCGACCTCGTCCAAAAGCTCGTACATATCCCGAAGGAAGCAGAGAGTGTGGAACCGGTCGGCCTCCAGCTGCGCTTGGCGAGATGCGCGCGCGGCTTCTTCCGACGTTGGAGCTGGTGGTGGCACAAACGTGGCGCCATCAAACGGCGGCAGGTCGGCGTCAGCATCATCCGCCGTGTCATCCAGAGCCAGAGCTTCAAACACGTTCGAGAGGCCCTTGGTTGCCGTTGGCGGCCGACCGCGTGGTGTAAGCATCGCCTGGATCGCTCGGAGCACGTTGAGAAAGTAGAGATGGCCTTCTTCGGACGGCAAGCACTGAGAAGCCTGCCAGCGTAGGCGGATGCTTGTCGCCAGGTGGCGCCAGACATCGGTCGGGACTGGGACGCCTGCCTCGGCAACGGCGATGGCAGCTGCCCAGATCTGGCCCGTGGTCCACACTTCGTTCGTCGCCTGGATCTTCTTCGTCTTCTTTGCCGCTGTGCGCTGCAGCCAGCCGAGAAAGGCGTCGGTCGCAGCCTTGTAGCGGTGCCATCGACCCGACGGCTCGGTTGGCCCTGTTGCCGCCATCGGGCCAAGTCCAGAATCAGGATGAATCCTGATTCAGGACTCGTGAAAGTCCTGGGTCAATAGTGAAAGTCAAGTGACACAAATATTGAACCTAATATAATGAAAGACTGGCCTGAAACAAGGGCATGACATCCTGGTGATATTCAAGCAGCTTGAAACGAATGCATTGAGCAATTCCTGCAACATGGCAAAGCAGTGAGGTCGACGCTTCTCAAACGTCCATTGATGCTGTTCCCTCTCGACTCCTGCAGAGTGCGCCTGATACCTTCGTTCTCCACTGTGCAAGTCGTCAGGTCCGCCGCAGGAGCTAACGAAACGACGCCGTGGGAAGGACTCTTTCATGTGGCGTGGTTTCAAGAGCTCTCAATTACGCCCGCGAGTACGAGTACGCGTTGAGGTTGAGACCGAGTTGGGCGAGGTCGTGGAGCACTTGGGCCTTGACGTCAATGACGTTCTCGAACGCCACGTCGTGCATCGACGCGGACGGGTGCAGACTCTTGGGCGCCACAATATGCATGGACGCGCGTCGCATGCGCGTGAGGCCATGCTGCCGCGTCGCGCGCCGCTGGTCCCGGGACGCAGCCATGACGAATGCAAACTCTTTGCGAATGATGTCCGACAAGTACGACGTTGGCGCGACTTCGACGCAGATGTAGCCGTGGTAATTCTAGACAATAGTACAATTGATGTATACCAAGAGGTAAACGCGACAACCTCGATCGAAAGAAGGCGCTGGACACTACCGGGCGTCGATTGCTCTGTGAAGCGCACCATGTGCATGACCAAACTGTTCCAGCCACGACGGGCCGCCCAGTGCAGCGGCGTGTCGCCCTAGTTAGCATGACAGGATCCGCCCGCATAAGATCGTAGTTGTCGACGCACGTGAAAGTCTTGGTGGCTCACGCAAGCGCCCTCGCTCAAAAGAAGCTTGACGACGTCGAGTCGCCCGGCGCGCGCTGCCTCGATGAGCGGCGTCGTTTTGCTGAGCACCTAGTCATCCAAGCGTCGATGCCAACAACGTCGACTTGCATTGTTCTTCGTACGCTGTCGACCGCGTCGACGTCGGCGCCCATTCGCAAGAGGTACTCGACCACAGACACATGGCCCGACCTACACGTATTGTACGTCTTTCTACGATTTCCGCATCGCACCAGCAAGCCGTGTGCAACAGCGTCCGCCGGCCTTCGTCGACGTCGCGGTTGTGCAGCACGAGCAGTCTTCATGCGGTGTTTAGCTCGGAGGAGGAGGGAGGACGTACTTGGCCGGTGACTCGATGAGAAAGTACTTTTGGAGCACGTCCAGTTTGCCCGTTTTGGTCGCACTCCAAATGTCGCCGTCGTACTTCATGAGAAACTTGCGCGCTTCGGCCCGCCGCACTTTTTCATCGTCCGTGTCGTCGTCGCCTTCTTCAACGTCGGCCCGCGCTCGACTCACCTCGTCGAGGCGGCGCTTGTCGGCTTCGTTTTTGAGTCTACGCTGGTCATTCGGCGAGAGACACATGTCGTTGACGTGCGTACTTGTAGTGCTTGGACCGCCGGCCATGTAAAATCTTGTCTTTGGCCTACCGCCCACGTCGTGCCCACTTTAGCCACGGCGAACGAGTGCGTACCTTGCTCGACGACGCCGTGAGATCGACCATCTTGGCGTGCTTGTTGCCACTTACGTCGTCGTCAGGTTCGCCGGCTTTTCGCGACAGTTTGTTGCGCCGATCGCGCTCGCGCTCCTCGCGCTTGGCCCGGAGCTTGGACGGCAGCTCCTTCTTGACATCGATGCCCGCAGGCGTCGCTTCCATCGGCGCTGCTACCATTGGCATCTGGTTGCCACTAGCATCGGCTTCGTCGTCCATGAAGAGCGACTGCGCGAATGCTTCCATCTCGCGACCTCGGTCCTCTTCGGGAATCCCATAGACGGGTGCCGTGAGGCCCGCAGACGTTGTCGTTTGTTCGAGTTGCGACGCCAAGAGGTGCTGAAGGTCCAGCGATTCAATGCTCGAGCTCGCGCGCGGTGCTATTTGCTTGCGCGCGGCCGTGGCATTGGCTACGTTCTTGCGACTGCTGCGCTGCGCTTGCATTCTACAGCGCGCGCTAAATACCGCCCAAAACGCACACAAACGTACGTATTGAAGACAGCCGAGTTGCGCTCGGAGGACGTGCGATCCATGTTGTTGCGCGCGTCGGCCTCGGCGCGCTGGCGCGACTCGACCTCGCTCCCGACTTTGGCCTCGAGCAGTGCAAAGTCCCGCGTCGCTTCCGCTGTCATACGCAGCCCTTCCTCGAGCCGACTTGGACCATCAATCCGCCGATACGCCATGCGAATCTAGTTGCACATTATCAGTGTTACTGACGCCAGCGCCATGGACGAGGGCACCTTGATGATGCGGGCGCGCATGTCGCGCGCCATGATGTCAATGCGCGGGTTGTCCAGGATCGGGCCATTGAGCTCGGGGCACACGACGGCGTCGGTAAACGTCTGGGAACTCATCGCGTTGAGGCCGTTGAGAATGCGCAAGCACTCGTCGCCAATGACTTGCTTGCCGTTGCAGAGGCGCACGACGTCGGGGCTCTAGTCGGACGCGTCAGAAGTTGATTTGGTGGGTGGTGTCGCACCGGCGCGCGCGCCTGAACCAGCTTGATCTGGTGGCGCTCGTACACGATGCACGCATTGTGCGCGGCCTGAACGATCGTTGTCGCGCCAACGCCATTGCGGTCACGCGGGTCGCCCAAGTCGTTCTCCAGCGCGTCATCAAGGAGTGTGCTCACCTACGCGCCGTCGCACAAGCGCTTGCAGGCCACCGAGGCAGTACCTTTTCATACGCATCGCTCGTCCACTTGAACGGATCGGGCTCCGCGGCCAAGGCCTTCTCCAGCTTGCCCTTGATCGAGCGCAGCTCCGTCGCCATCGACGCCATCTCGAACCGCCACGCTGTTAGATATGCGGCAATCACACCAACTTGGCTTGTTATAACACTCGACGGGGCTTCAAGTTAACAGACCTACATTCTGCTTCGAGGGGTGTAATCGCCGAAGGTCCAGGCGCCGGACGCTGCAGATGGTGGCCACGAGAAGCAGCCCTTGCTTCCACAGGGCGCAGGTGGCGGCTGCAAAGCCCCGTGATCGACGAGCTTCGATGTGCGTCCTGCTCCTATTTGCGGTGGCTGGAACGGTCAGTTTGAAAAATGCAAGGTCGCATCGTGGTCGTTGGCGCGGGCGTCGTCGGGCTCACGACTGCTCTGCAGCTCTCGCTGGATGGTGTTCCGTCAAGCTGCATCGTTGTGCTCACAAAGGATGCGTCCGAAGACACCGTGTCCTGCGTCGCCGGCGCTCTCTGGGAAAGGTACGCGCGCCTGTCTCCTGCTGTACGTAGCTGACGCTGCATTCTAGCCCGCCGTACGAGATGGAGGCCAACCCGACAGCTGTCGGGTGGTGCGCGACGACGTTGCACAAGCTCACACAGCTCTCGCGGTACGTACATATTCTGCAAGCGATCTCTCTCTTCTTACGGTTCAGTCCATGGGCAGGGACCACCCCGAGACTGGTATCCACGTTGTCCCAAGCTTCACCGCGAGCGAGCGCCCGCTCGAGACGAACGTCGACGCCAAGAACGCGTGCACGAGCTACCGCGAGTGGGAGACGCCGTCGAGCGCCAACGCGCTGCTGCGGCGCGCTGGTGTGCCGGAGCTCAGCGACAAGTTCCGCCACTTTCAGACGTACGATGCACCGATCGCGGCCATGGACGTCTACCTCGCGTGGCTCAACGCCGAGCTTGGCCGTCGAGGCATTGTGATTCGGCGCGAATGCGTCGCCGACCTTAATGCGCTCGCCACGCCCGACACGATCGTGGTCAACTGCACCGGCCTCGCCGCGCACGCGTACGACAAAGCCATGTACCCGTGCAAGGGCCAAGTCGTCCGTGTCCACGCGCCGTGGGTGCGCGCAGCGATCCTCGACATGGACTCGGGCGCGTACATGATTCCGCGCCCGAACGGCGACCTCATTTGTGGTGGCACGAGCGAAGACAACCAGTGGGATTTGGTCATCGAGGACCACGTGACTGAGACGATCTTGCGCAAGTGCAAGGCGATTCTGCCGTCGCTTGAGCATGCGCGGGTCCTCGGAGTGCGCACGGGCCATCGCCCCAAGCGGCGCGGCGGCGCGCGCGTCGAGACCGAGGCGTCGGCGCACGGTGGCTACGTCGTCCACAACTACGGTGCGTCTCTTCTTCGTGGCGGACTCTCATACTGCATAGGCCACGGCGGATCCGGCATTTGCTGCTCGTGGGGCACAGCGATCGACGCCTCCAAGCTCGTTCAAACCTGCTTGCGGCAGATCAACCAAACCCAGCATTTGAGCAAGCTCTAATTCTACATGTACATTCCTGCACCTTCAGCGTCATCCATTGTTCGACTTGCAGTTGGCACCTGCTTGCACAAGTTCAACCCACCCGAGCCACGTCGCAGCCGTAGGATGCTATGCACGTGGATGCTAGGCGGTGCGCGGAGACGTGGTGCTGGCTGCGATGCCGGGACATGAAGCCCGCAGTAAAGTTTCCTTGACCACCAGTGTCGCCATCGCATTGTACAGGCCTAGAAAAAAGAGGTAGACTACATGGCGGTTCTGCAGCGCCTCCGAGTCTGTACACGTGGCTTGGCGCTGCTTCGAATGACACCTGCCATCCACGCACGCCAATGCGCTGCATATCCATATCCACCGTCGAAGGCCTTCGCCGTTCACAGCTATCTCTGCGCCGCTGGGTAGCGCTTGGCGATGGAAGGTCTCGCACCTTGACCATGGCATCGTCCGTCGACGACTGCCACGTGCCCCGCTCGACGATACGTGGCCGCGTCAGCAGCGGAGCGTATCCTGGGGCCAAAAAGATTCCAGAGCCTTCTATCCGGCTCGCGGCGCGTCCGGATACGGCGAAGCAGCGCCTCTGATTCGTCCACGTGATTCGGATTTCAGCCAATCACGTGCGTTTGTGTCGCGACACTTCTGTTTAGTATGGCGATGGCAATGAGCAGAACACGTGGCCGTCTACTCGCCACTTGGGCGTTTCGGAGCCATTTTGCGAGACGTGGGCTAGGAGTAAGATGCGCCTGAGCCACCTCCTACCGCTGCTGCTGGCGGCGCTGATCGCGACGGTCTCGGCCTCGGTCGCCGGCGTCGACTTTGGCGGCGAGTTCTTCAAGATCGCGCTCGTCAAGCCCGGCCGGCCGTTTGAGATTGTCACCAACGTGCACAGCAAGCGCAAGACCGAGACGATCGTGTCGTTCAACGGCGACGAGCGCGTGTATGGCGCGGACGCGATGAACATTGAGGTGCGCCGCCCGCAAGTGGCCTACTCGCAGATCCGGCGCTTCCTCGGCGCGACGGTCGACCACCCGCTCGTGTCGAGCTTGACCGAGAACGAGTACTTTCCGTACACGCTGACCAAGAACTTGACGCGCGGCTCGGTCGCGCTCCAGCACAGCAGTGAGCACACGTTCCACGCCGAAGAGCTTGCGGCCATGGTCTTTGGCCACGCCAAGCAGATCACCAACGACTTTGCCGAAGCACCCGTGAAGGACTGGGTCATTACCGTGCCCATGTACTTTGCTGAGCCGCAGCGCCAAGCGATCATTGACGCCGCCGAGATCGCCGGGATCCGCGTCTTGTCGCTCATTGACGAAAACACGGCCGCGGCGTTGCACCACGCCGTCGACTACGAGGCGGCCGAGCCCAACACGCCGGAGCGCATCATGCTTTACAACATGGGCTCGACGTCGCTGCAGGTGAGCATCGTCGAGTACAAGACGCGCGTCGTGCCCGACGGCTTCAAGAAGAACAAGACGATCGTCGAGTTTGACGTGCTCGCGAAAGCGTGGGACGAGACGCTCGGCGGCGCGCAGTTTGACTTGCGCCTCGCCGAGAAGTTTGCGAACGAGTTCAACGCCAAGCTCAAGAACGGCGACGACGTGCGCAAGATCCCGCGCGCGATGGCCAAGCTCCGCGCCGCGGCGCGCAAGACCAAGATTGTGCTCAGCGCCAACGAAGCGATTCCAGTGATCGTCCCAAGCCTCCACGCCGACTTGGACTACAAGGGCCACGCGTCGCGCACCGAGCTCGAGGAGATTGCGGCCGACCTCTTTGCCCGCGTGCTCGAGCCCGTCAAGTCGGCGCTCGACCAAGCCGGCTTGACGGTCGGCGACTTGAGCGCGGTCGAGATCATTGGCGGCGGCGTGCGCATCCCCAAGATCCAAGCGCTTTTGCAAGAGTTTGTGCAGCGGGACCTCGGGAAGCGTCTCAACGGCGACGAGGCCATGGCGCTCGGCGCGGCCTTCAACGCTGCGAACCTTAGCACGTCATTCCGCGTGCGCCACGTGGGCATGACGGACATTAGCTCGTTCCCCATTGGTGTCCGCCTCGTGGACCTTGCGTCGCACGCCGCGGACGACGACCACCCGGAGGCTAAGCACTGGGTCAAGCGCGCGGCCCTCTTCGGCGAGCGCCAAAAGCTCAACGTGAAGAAGTCGGTGTCGTTCTCGCACGCCGACGACGTCTCGTGCACGTTCCGCTACGACAAGCCGTCGGCGCTGCCGCAAGGCGTCTCGTCGATCATTTCGCGCTACAACATTACGGGCATTGCGGCGTTTGCCAAGAAGATGGAGGACAAGAAGCTCGGCGAGCCCAAGGTCACGTTGAGCTTCAACCTCGACGCGAGCGGTCTTGCCTCGATCGTCAAGGCCGAGGCGACGTTGGACGAGGAGATTGAAGTGCCGGCGCCGACGAAGAAGGCGGTCAAGAAGGCCGACGATAGCAGCAGCAGTGCCGATGGTGACGACGACGACGACAAGACGACGGAGACAGACGAAGCCCCGGAAATGATCAAGAAGACCAAGGTGCACCGTGTGACGCTCACGGTCGTCCGATCGGACGCGGCGCACCGCCCGGAAGCCGGCATGGCGATTCTGCCCATGACCTTCCGCGACAAGAAGGAGTCGATCGCGATGCTGGCCGAGATGGACAAGGTCGACAGCATCCGCAAGGCCAACGCCGAGGCCAAGAACCGCCTCGAGGCGTTCGTGTACGAGTCGCGCGAGTACCTCTCGTCGCACGACGATGTGCTCGAGAAGGTCACGACATCGACGCAGCGCGAGACGTTGAGCGCAGATGTCGACGCCACCGAAGAGTGGCTCTACGAGGACGGCGACGACCTGGACGCCAAGGCGTACAACGAGCGCCTCGCCGGTATGCGCAAGCAGCTCGACGACATGGTCTTCCGTGTCTCGGAGCTCTCTGCGCTGCCGGAAGCGGTCGCCAAGGCGCAGCAGTATATCATCTCGACGATCGACCTCATGGCGCAGTGGGTCGATGTCAAGCCGCAGGTGACGGCCGACGAGCGCGACGACATCCTCGCCAAGGTCTCGGAGCTCAAGGACTGGCTCAAGGAGCAGCAGGCCGCCCAGGACGCGATTGCCAAGCACGACGAGCCCGTCTTCACCTCGGCGCACGTGCTCAAGAAGATTTCGGGCGTCAAGAAGCTCGTGACCGCCTTGGCCAAGAAGCCCAAGCCGACGCCCAAGCCGACGGAGGAGGCCAAGCCGGCCGAGGGCGACGAGGCCAAGAAGGACGACGAGTCCACGAGCTCGGACGAGGAACCGAAGACGCCCGAGCCCACGGAAGAGGAGCCGACGCACTCGGACGAGTTGTAGGCAGCTCGTCGCTGCTCGACTACACTAGGTAGCACTCCCTTCATCCCACACGTATATAATAAAAGTATTCCGGACCTCAATGCATGTCGATGTCGTGCATGCCGAGACTACACTGCATTGCAAAGCTCGAGGAGAGACTTCAACAGTGATTCTTTGCGCATATGCTGCCACGTCATTGTATCGCTCACAGTGGACTATTCACACGCCACTTTTCACTCAAAGTGGCGCATTTGGTGATCCTGCAGCACGTCAAGTGGCGTGCTTGTATCCTTACGAGCTGCTTACCATCGCGCACGCATTGGTCAAATGTTTTTCGATTTTCCACCAATGGCCTGCATTTTTCGAAGGCCGGCCCGATGGAAGCGCGTCGGCTGCCGCTTGGAGCCATGGCAAAGGACGATGGCTCGGTCGTCGTGCCCGAGAGCCGACGCGCGGACGGCTCTGTGCGCAAGGAGATCCGCATCCGCAAGGGATATGTGCCCCAAGACGAGCAGCCTGTCTACCGACCGCGCGGTCGACGCGAGCGTGACGCCCCAACCAGCGCGGTCGCCGACCTCGCCGCCGGCATTAGCAGCATCTCGTTGGCGAACGAAGAGAAGACGTCGGTTGACGCCAAGCGCCACGACGAAGACGAAGAAAAGCCCGCGCCGACGTCGCTGCAGCAGCGTGCGCGGCAACTGCCGATCGGCGCCGTCGAGACCGCCTCGGGCGACGTCATCATCCCATCCAGCCAACGACCGGATGGCACCTTTCGGAAAGAGATTAAAGTGCGCAAGGGCTACGTGCCGCAAGACGAGCAGCCCATGTACCGACCTCGCGCACTCCGCAACGCCGTCGACAGCGAGGCTTCGCAGTCCGTGCGGCCGACCGACACGCCGTCGCGCGACGAGAAGCCTCGTCCGCGCAGCAGACCGCAGGCTTCTCATCCTCGCCCGCAACGCACTTCGGAGCGCACGACGCCGCGAGAAGCATGGGCCCGCGAACCACCCGCGTCGACTGTATCGACGCCGCCGCCAACGTCGACGCTTCCTGCGTCGCACCCGAACCGGCGCCGACACATTGAACTCTAGCAGCATCGAATCATATTCATATATACATCTATATATTGAGCAACCCGGTGGGGCAAGAGGGTCGTGTCTATCTCGGTGTCGTCCTCGGTGGTTGTCGCCCCCGCGTGTAGTAAATAGTAGCTACGCTTACGCGGCCGACGACTCGACGTACGCGGCCGCAAGCTCCTTGACGTGCGCGACGCCGGCCTCGTCGCCGTGGTCCATCTCGAACGTGAGGTACTTCTTGAAGATGGCCTTCATCTTCTTGGCCGAGAGGGCCATCGAGACGACGCGCTCAAAGAGGAGGCGGGTGCTCGCGAGCTCGCCAAACTTGATTTCGCGGTCGAGGTACACGTTCCAGAGGTCCATCTTCTTGGCGAAGTTGCTCAGGATCTGCTCAAACATCGACCGGCCGTGCTCGATCTCGCCATAGTCGTACTGCATGAGCGCAAACTTGGTGAGGACCTTGAGGTGCTTGTGCTTGGGGAGCGACTGCATCGAGCGCTGGAGCACCTTGCGGGCCACGTCCGGCGTGCCCTCCTGCATCGCCCACTCGCACGAGCGGAGCCAGACCTTGGCGCTCGTGTTGAACTTCTTTTGCATCGTCTTGAGCGACGCGTGGACATCGTCCGCTTGCTCGTGGCGCACGTAGAGCTCAATGAGCTTGAGGTACATGTGCTTGGGGTTGTTGGCGCGGAGCGCAGAGTTGAAGACGCGGCCAAACGAGCTTTCATCGCCGTGGTCATGCTCCAAGTTGAGGTACGCAACCCACACGTTGAGCTTCTCCTGGGCCTCGCGGAACGTCACCTTGGTCGTCGCACGGACCGCCACGTCACGGGCGGCGGCAATGTCCGTCATCGACACGTGGAACGCCATGTACTGGATCCACAGGAACGAGTTGAGCGGCGAGACCGCGAGGAGACGCTCGAAATCGTCGGCCGACTCGGGCACCGTCTCGCCGGCCGCGAGCGCGCGCTCCCGGTACGCGACATACATGTCCTCGTTCTCCTTGGCCGCCTTCTTCATGCGCTTGGCCTTGGCCTTGGAGACCGCGTCCGTCGCGCTGGCTTCGTCGTCTTCGTCCTCGTCGTCGGCCGCGGGCTTGTCGCTCTTCTCGATCGAGAAGCCGTCCCAGGCAAAGTCCGCGTACGGCGCCGCCTTGGGCGCTTCGTCCTCGTCCTCATCTTCGTCTTCGTCGTCGTCGCTGTCGGCAGCTTCCATGTCAACATCTTCCTTCTCCGCTTCCTCTTCCTCGTCGTTCTCGTCGTCGCTGTCGGCGGCTTCCATGTCGACGTCTTCCTTCTCTTCCTCGTCGTCTTCGTCGTCCGACGAGTCATCGTCTTCGCTGGACGAGCTCTCGTCGTCCGCAAAGTACGACGGCTTCAAGCCGAGCGAGATGCGGCGGTTCTCAATCTTGAGCACCTTGGCCTTGACATAGTCGCCGGCCGAGAAGACGCCGTCGAGCGACTTGACCTTCGAGTCGGCGACTTCGGAGATGTGGCAGAGGCCGCTGAGCGTCGAGTTTTCAATTTTGATAAAGACGCCGTACGTCTGGACACTCGAGATGGTGCCCTTGACGTTCATGCCGACGCTGAGCGACTCGAGCGTCACGGACGACGACCCGCCGGCACCTTCCGTGACCACCGACGCCTTGAGACTCAACTCGACCTTGTCGTTCTCGACCTTGGTCACGCGACCGACCACGAGCGTGCCGGCAGGGAACTGCTTGGCGGGCTCCTTGACAAAGTCATCGCTGAGCTCACGGAGGAGCACACGCGCCGTGCGCGAGCGGTGCGAACGCACAAAGCAGCCGCCCGAACCGACGGTCGCGACGTAGCCCGTGACGAGGTCACCGAGCGCCGGGACCTTGGCCGCGAGCGCCGCATCCAGCGCCACGTACGACGCCGGGTCCGCGACCGCCGACGGCTTGAGCGACACCTCCATCACGTGCTTGTCGTTCGAGAGCACGACGGCGTGAACGAACGCGCCGTGTTCGAGCGTCGCCAACGGCAGCGACGTCGGCGTGTCGACGACTTCGGTCACACAGACGCGACCAAAGGCGTGGGCGCCAAGCTGCACCATGATGGACGGCGCCGCGAGCGCCTTAACGTTCGTGTTGATGCGGCCGAGGACCACGTCGCCGACGTTGGTCTCGCGCGCGGTCGCGAGGCAGCTAAGATCAATGTGCTTCTTCTCCACGTCGAGCGAGAGAACGCGGCAGTTGACGCGCGTCCCGACCGCAAACGACTGCGTGAACGTCTCGAGGACCTTGATGTCGGACGAGAGCTCGAGCACGTGGCAAAAGCCGACGACGCGCGCGCTGAGGCGGATCATGACGCCGTCCTTGGCCGTCTCGACGACGACACCGGGGATCATCTCACCGGCCTCGAGGACTTCGAGGCCGGCGCCCGCCCAGTCGGCGCGCGCCGCCACGTCGCCCGACTGGTCGGCCGCGCGGAGCGAGACGTTGAGCGAGCGGAAGTTCGCAATGTTCTCGGGACCCACGGGCTTGCGCTGGTTGGCGCCCTTCTCGACCATGCTCACGATCCGGCCCGTGACGACCGTGTTGGTCGAGAACGCATCAAAAGGGTGCGCGCCGCCGTTGCTGTCGACGTCGACGAGCGACACGAACGCGTTGACCTTGCCCGCGCTCTTGGAGCACTTGATCTTGAGCTCCATCGTGTCCTCCTTGATACCGACAATGCGACCCGTGACGAGGCCGCTGAGCACGAGGTCCGACCCCGCGTACTTGGGCAAGTGTTCGTGGTCCGTCTTCTTGGCCTTCTTCTTCGACACCTTCTTCTCGGAAGCAACCAAGACGAGCACCGGGAGGTCGTCGAACGGGTTTTGCTGAACGTGGCCCGCGACACGGCACGCGTGCACCTGGCCGGCCTCGAGCTCGAGCGACGCGCAGGACGACGACGGGCTAAAGAAGGACGCGACCTGCAACACCGCGATCGTCGACTCGACGGCCACGACCGCATACTCGTCGCGCGTGAGGAGGATCGTCGCGTCGACAACGGCGTTGGCTTCGAGGCGCAGCGCCTTCTTGCGCGCCTTCTTCTCGCCGGCCTTGACGAGGTCCGACGTCGCAGTCGCGTAAAACACTTGCTTTTCAAAGTCGTAGTCGATGAGGCGGACGTTGACCTTCTGGTTTTCGCTCCAGTCGAGGCCGGTCGTCTCGGTGACAATGACCGTCGTCTCGTCCGCGAGGCTGCACACGTGCCCGTACGCCTTGGCCGAGACAAACTCGGCGGCTTCCGTGTGGCCGACGTGGTGCGCCTTCCACGGCTGCGCGGCGCCGTGCGAGACCGCGTGCTCGGCAAAGAGCGCGGGGGCATAGTCGGCGTTGACACGGGGCTTGTCAAACGTGCGGAAGTCGAGCATAAACTGCTGCTTCTCGGCGTGGACCTTCTCGACAAAGCAGTGGACCGTGTCGCCAATCTCAAAGAGCCCGTCGGCGCTGCTGACGAAGCGGTCGGTGAGGAACGCGATCGGCGCGAGCGCCTGGAGGTTGTTGAGGAAGCTCACGAAGACGCCAAAGGGGCGGATCTCGCGCACAAAGCCCGTGACCGCCATGCCTTCCTTGACGTCGCCAAAGCGGGCCGGCATCGTCTTCTGCTCCTTCGCCGCGAGCAACAGCGGCTTCTTGGTCAAGTGGAGGAGACCGTCCTTTGCCTGGAAGAGCACCATGCACGAAAATGTATCGTCGACCGAGACGGACGCGCTCATGGCGCGCGGAAAGTCCGTCAAGTGGGCGTTGGCGACGACGCCTTCGAGGCCGTCCGTGGTCTGGACGCGGACAAAGCTCTCGTCGACCTCAATGACCTTGACGTCCACGATCGCACCGGCCGGGAGCTCCGACGACGACGTCGCGACGCCGGACGCGGTCGCGCGCGTTACCGTCGACGTCGTGTCGAACGTCAGCGTCATGCGCATCTTGATCGGGTCGCAGCGGGCGACGCAGGCCTTGACGACCTGGCCGGTGGTGTACGCCGCGGCAATGTCTTCGACGCCGGCCTTGAAGAGCGTCGCGGCCGGCACAAGGCCGTGCACGCCGTTGTAAAAGCCAATGACAAGACCAAACTCGGCGACCTTGGTGATAAAGCCGTGCGCCATCGTGCCCGGCGTCGCCTGCTGGTACGACGTGAGCGGCGGCAGCTCCGAGCTCACGAGACCCTTCTTGAGCGTCAGATGCACCTTCTTGGCAGGCACGTCCACACTCAACACGCGGCACTCGATCGCGTAGCCGACCTTGTACTTGGACATGGTCTTCTTGAGCGCGACGGTCGGCGCGTGGGCGGCCGAGACAAGGCCGCGAATCCCGTCGCAAATGTCGACGAGGATACCCCACGACTCGACACTCACGACCTTGCCCTTCACAACCGTGCCGGCAGCGAGGTCCACGAGGCGGAGCGCGGCCTTGTTGAGCGCGGCGGGTGCGAGCGTCACGTTGACAACGCTGTCAAAGAGCGAGTAGCCGACGACGCGGCCGGGCAGCACCTGGTCGACCTTGAAGTGCTTCTCGAGCTTCTCGACGCGAAAGTCGGCGACGCGCGAGATGTGCGCAAACGCCGGGCGGAAGTCCTTCCACGAGAGCTTGTCGGTGGTCGTGAGGCCGCCGAGGCTCACGAGCATACCGATGCCGGCGTCCAACCGGTGGATCGCGCAGCTCTCGATGATGTCGCCAATGTTTTCGGAAAACTCGGGCGTCTGCAGATGCACAACGTGCGGCGCCATCGAGAGCACAATCGTCTTGTTGGTCGCGTCAATGGCCGTGATGCGCGCGCGACCCTTCATGCCCTTGCTGAAGGCGTCCGCCCAGTTCTTCTGGCACGGGTTGCTCATGTGGTTGTACTCGACGGTTCCGTTAAAGAACGTGAGAAAGTTGACGCTGAGCCCGTTCGCGAGGACTTCGTCGATACGCACGTTCAATAGCATGCCGAGGGACAGCGTCGACATGGTATACGCGTCGCCGCGCGTCACCGTCTTGACGACGACCGCCTTCTCAGTCGTGAGCGTCGCCGTGTGCGTGTGTTCGTTGATCAAGTTGACGGCGCAGAAGAAGAGCTGGCCGGGCACGAGCTCCGGGAGCGCGTTCGGCGCGTGGAGGTCCTTCTTGGGCACAAAGCCAGTGAACCCGCGGACGCCGAGGTTCATGATGGCGCCGTGGTCTTCGACGCTTTGGACGCTCGCGTAGAGCGACGCGCCCTTCGTAATGTGGTGGGCGCTCAAGTTGCTGTTGATGAGCGAGACGCGGAGCGAGAGTTCAATGCGCTTGCCCTTCTCTTCTTTCGAGCACTTGAGCACGATGGCGGGCACGAACTGACCGACGTAGAAGCGGGCCGCGAGCTCGCCGCCTTCGGGCTTGACGACCTTGTGCAATTCGTCCGAGGTTTCCTTGAGCGCGACAAAGCCGCTGAGGTTGTTCTGGAGCGAGACGACGAGGTCGGCCTCGTTGACCTGGCGGATCACGCCCATGATCAGCGTGCCGGCCTTGAGGTTCTTGAATGTGATGCAATGGGCGGTCGCGGCCTTCTCGGCGCGCGCGGCCGGGACGTCCTCGGTCTTGTTGTGCTTATGGACCTTCTTCTTGGAGGGCGCGTCGGTCGCCGCCGTCTCCTTCTTGCCGAAGAGGACGTCCGAGTCTTCGGGCTTCTTGCGCTTCTTGGAGGCGTCGTCGGCCGACGGCTTCTTGCCGCGCGGGAAGCTCACGTCCATGATCTTGCTTCCAAAGATATCGGGATATGAACCACCTTGGCCTCGTTGCCAGTGGTTTGGTTGGCCAGGGTCCGAGGGCAATTTCAGGACCCAATCAAATCGCGCCATTTCGCACGCCGCCGCGCCTGATTGGCTTAGACAGACCTGCGATAATGCATAATCAACGCGCAGAATTAATATTCCGCGGGAACCAGCTTCAACCTCGACGACACGTCGTCCGTGAGCGCCATGGCACTCAGCTCGCGACGGCTCTCTCTAAAGAGCTCGGCGGTACTTTGGCGAACAGCAGATACCGCTGTCGCACGCTATGACCGGTCAACAGTCGAATGGGCAGCTATCGAAGGCGACGTAGCGAGATCGAAAGTATGGTCGCACGAAATGTGATATGATACACGATGCGCCGTCTCCTTTTCTGGAGGCTGTGCGAACAGTAGAGGCCTTCTATCGTTGTTAGTCCTACGACACTGGGTTCGATGGTCTCGACCGAGTGTAGAGTACAGTGCAACGAGAGGCTCAGTTTCCTTTCCGACGGCAAGCACGCATGGTTTGTGCGACGCTGCTGCTCATGGCGCTTAACATCGCATCCACTGCGGCACAGTCGTTTGCGGGCAAAGGCACGGCGTATCACGCGAGCTCTGTGGGCGCAGGCAACTGCAACCTCATGAGCTGGCTGCCGATCGCCAACACCAACCGGGTCGCGATCCCGTCGGCCTTGTGGGCGTCCGGCGCCAACTGCGGACGCTGTGTGCAAATCCAGTGCGTCGATTCCATTTGCCTGTCGAACGCGCCCGTCGTCGCGCAAATCACCGACTCGTGTCCGACCTGCGGCCCCCGCGACGTGGACATGGTCGACAGCCTCTTCCAGAAGGTCACGGGTGGCCTCTCGACGGGCGCGCCGCAGATCGTCTGGGCATTCGTACCCTGCACTCCCGTCGGCGGCGTTCATGTCTGCACCAAGGTCGGCAGTTCGCGCTACTGGCTGGCACTGCAGCCGTCCAACAAGATCAGCGGCGTTCAGCGGCTGCGCATCATGAAGCAACCAACGTCGCTTCTTGGCAGCGCCTTCTACTTTGTTGCGCTCGGCCAAGCGTCAATTGAAGTGTCGCTCGCATCGACAGAGATCGAGCTCACGTCGTTCGGGGGCGACGTCATTCTGGCAACGCTGCGCCTTGTCCCCAACACGTGTACGCACATTCAACCGTTCAAAAGCTAGCCTTTGGAACCTAGCCGAGGCTAATATCACTGGATTCGTACCAAGTCCCAGGCTCGCCTGAATTTGACCGAGTTGGCGCCCACTTGGTGAATGGGCGCTACATAGGGAGAGCTTCGACTAGAATCGAACGCGTGAGCATGCTATGAGGCCCCCACACCAAGCTTCGGAGTTGATCGCGTACGTCGGGCGTCGAGTCTGTTGAGGCATCGGTTCAAATCGAGAGACGTACATGGTGTGCTTACGACTACGACTAGTGCTACGATGGGATCGAGTCGTCGGACGTGATGCCATGGGCAGAGGCATATAGAACACAACTCTGTTGAACATTTGAGCACGGTACGAATGACGACTAGACACTAGCGACCTAGAGGATCGCGACATTCGCCTGCGACGTCTCCGAGTGGCCGTAGCGCATGATGGGGCCGTCGAACGACGCATCCGACTCCTTCTCTTGCATGTATTTGCGGCGCGACCGCTTCACGACGACGACGAGGACGACCGCCGCGACGACCACCAAGAAACTGGCGCCCGCCACGAGGTAGTTCGTGACATTCGCACCGGCGCCTGCTGACGACTGCACCACCACTTCGACAGCGTCAGTTTTGCGCGCAACGACCGGTGCAGACGTTGCAACGGGCGTCGACGAGTTGGCGGCCGGAAGGGTTTCCAGCGGCAGCTCGGTCGTCGGTGTCACCGTCGTCGTGGCTACGACTGTCGTGAGTGCGACCGTGGTAGGCTCGGGAGTTCCCGTCGTGGGAGCTCCCGTCGTGGGACTGGGCGTACCCGAGGTCGTTGGCGCCGGTGTCGTTGTTTTCGGTGCCTCGGTGGTCGGTGCCGACGTCGACGGGCTTGGTGACGGGCTCGGCGGCGGGCTCGTCGACGGGTTAGGGCTGGGGCTAGGGCTAGGTGACGGGCTGGGCGGCGGGACCGGCGGGCCTGGCACGACGCCCACGGTAAACTGCTGTGGGATTTGCGTGCACTGGTCAGCTTGGAGCGATACTTTGGTGCTGATCGTCTCCCCCGAGTGCGACGTCATGTCCACCATCGTGTCAGAGAGCTCGACGTTGAGCACTTGGCTCTTGAAGTAGTACGAAGCGTCAAACGATGGGGCGTCGCCGCCGTTGATCTTCATCTTGGCGACGCCATTGAGAGCGTTTGAGGCTTGGATGTACAACCAGTACTTGGAGCTGCCGCTCTTGGCGCACACTTGGACACCGCCGGAGACCGGGCAGTTGACAAACTGCCACTTGATCTTGGGCCGGTCCGTGTTGAGGCCGGTGGCCTTGTTGAACATCGGTAGGGACATATCGAGGTCACCAAACTGGCACTCGGGGCACCGGTCGGTGATCTGGCCGAGCACCTTCTCCTGGGACGTGCAGCGCGGATCGACGCACTGGACTTCGACGCACCGGCCACAATGAATCCCGGTGCTCCACTGGAAGTTGTTCAAGGCCGCGTGGAAGCGAGGCGCGAGGTCGAGCGGCTTCATGAGCGCGCAGTTGCCAGTGAACGCGCTGTCCCCGCCATCGGGCGGGCCATACGTCGTCCCTTCGCCCGAGTAAAATTGGCATGTGCCGACCGCGGCGAGCGCGAGGACCCCCATCAGGCGTTCATTGACGCGCATGGCGACGGCTAGATTTAAGGCGTCGATTGCAAAACTGGGCGGTGCCACATGAGCGGCGCGCGATGTGACTCACCCTTCCCAGAAATCGTACGGTGGATTGTACACTGAATCCACCCCCGTTGTGTCAATGACGTAATGCAAACTGGCTCGACATTGCATTTTCTTTTTAATAGCGGCGATTTCTTTTATTCTTTTTTTCATTCTTTTATTCGCCCCGCTCCAATCATTATGAGAGACGGCCTTTAAAAAAACAAGTGATCATTTAAAATACGGGCTGTCAAATCGGGGTGACGACTTGGCGCCACAGACAGGGCCACGGACGGACGCAGCCTCAGATCCGCAGCAACGAGTTGGTAGCGCACGTGGTCGCAGGCGCGCTTCGTCGAACGAAATCAGGACGACGCAGCGCCTCCAGGCGATGTCGAGCTGTGGCGCACGACTGGTGTCTGGGAGTGTGCATCGGTGCTTTCGACGTGCAGCAATCACGACTTGTGCTTCAACAACCAGCCGACTGGCGCCATTCATTGACGTGCATGTCGCCACCAGAAGATCGCGTTGATGATGTGGTCGGTTCTCCTCTGGTGGTCACGGCCGTGCGTGCGCATCGTGCTGTGGGTGGATGTCAGGGGCGATGTTGCGTTCGGCCCCGAGTAGCTTTGCACAGAGTGCGCGGGTCGCTGTCGTAATGTTCCACCATATCAGCAAAAGAGCACCCGATTTCGATCCGCACCAAGCGATTGGGATCGGACTTGCGAGGTGGCGCGGTGCACAGTACGAGTACCCGGAGCAACGACATGTGTCCAGCCCCCTGGCGCATAATTTGGTATCCACAGCTCGCAAGATCGGCGTGTATATAATCACGGTGGCGCGTCTCGCCCTCGTCGTCGACCTCCAACGACCAGCGTGACGACCGGCATAGCCGCTCTTGGCAGATATGCAAGCACATTGAGCTCGTCGATTGTCGCGGCGGTTGGTGTCAGCGCCTCTAGCACCGCGTGTGATACAGCGTTGCTCGCAATGTGAGCGGTTTCGATTTGTATGGGTTTGAGTATACTCGCGTCGTGGCGAGCTCCGTCCGTTTTCAAGGACGCTGCTTTCGACGCCGCCAGCTGGCTCTCGAGCCTTTGCCGATGTACACTCATTTCTCAACCACCGCCCTCGAGCAGAAAGACCATGCGCGGCTTCACACTCGCGCTTCTGTGCGCTTCGGCCGCGAGCCAATACACGGGCGAAGGCACGACGTACGGCCCGCCCGACGGCGGGGACAGCGCGTTTACCGGTAACTGCGCGCTCATGAAGCCGCTTGACTTTGCGCCCAAGTTCCACGCTGCGATCAACGACGCCCAATGGGGCGAAGGTGTCAACTGTGGTCGTTGCGTCGCCGTCCAGTGCACCGACCCGCGCTGCACATCGTCGGCGCAGGTCGTGGGCCAAATCACCGACCGGTGCCCCGAATGCAAGTTTGGCGACCTCGATATGTCCCTACCGATGTTCAACTCGGCCACGGGTCTCTACACCGACCGGCCCAAGATCAAGTGGAGCTTTGTCGACTGCCCCGTCTCCGGCGGCGTCCAGCTCTGCGCCAAGAGCGGCAGCTCCAAGTTCTGGCTCGCGGTGCAGGCAAGTAACGCTGTGAACGGTATCAAGAGCATGAGCATCAACGGCCAAGCCGCACCGCTCTTTGGCGGCACTGCATACTACTTCAAGTCGCAAGTCAATGGCGTCGACCTCAGCGAAACGCAGATCACAATGACGTCGTTTTCGGGCGACTCGATCACGACGACAGTCTCGCTCGAAGCGGACAAGTGCACACAGATCTCGCATCAGTTCAAGACGGGCGGCAACGACAACGTGGCGCCGCAACCCCAGCCGTCGCCATCGCCAAGCCCGAAGCCGTCGCCAAGCCCGCAACCGGTGCCCAGCCCATCGCCAAGCGCGCAGCCGTTGCCGATCCCGCAGCCGTCGCCGAGTCCGAGCCCGCAGCCGAGTCCATCGCCGTCGGTTGTCCCGTCTCCGCAACCGAGCACCACCCCATCCCCGACGTCGTCGACACCAACGACAACCTCGGCCACTCCGTCGACTACGTCGCGTGTCACAACGACGCCGGCTACCACGACGACCAGTGTGCCCAGCAGCGGGTCCGAGGCAACTGAATCGGCAACGCTTGCGCCAACCACAAGCACCTCGCCGGATGCCACCGTTGCGCCGACGGGCGAGAGTGCGATCACTCGTCCGGATACGGCACCGACCGCAGCACCGTCGAAATCAGCTTCGACGCAATCTCCGTCGAATGCGACGGAGGTCAGCAACCAGTCGAGCGCCGACGGTCCGAGCGTCGGCAGCGTGATCGGCTACGGTCTCATCGGTTGCATTGTGATCGCGGGCGTCGTTGTCGGTGTCGTCGTTACCAAGGCGCGCCGGAAGATCGATGAGGAAAAGGAGAACGACCGGCTCGAGCTCGCGAGCTCGCACGCCAACATTGCCGTCCTCTAAGTCGTTGCCCAAGCATAATTTAGCTGATTTATCACC